ACCGCAAAACCAAGTCAGCCCTGACTGTTCTATACTTGGCCACCAGAGGCGACGCCCGCCCCTCCCCCAGAACGCTGGCTGAGCTTCTGGGATTACACACACACACACACACACACACACACACACACACACACACACACCCTTCACTGGAAAACCAAATCAGCCCTGGACTATTCTATATTTGTAATCAGCAAGCCTTTGCAGGAATATCCCTAGGTCCTGACGACCAGTGGCTAACCCACTATACTTTGGAGACAGGAATCAAAGATAAAATTGTTGTTGGATCCAGCCTTCCTTCCTTCCTTCCTTCCTTCCTTCCTTCCTTCCTTCCTCCCTCCCTCCCTCCTCCCTCCCTCCTCCTCCTTCCTTCCTTCCTTCCTCCCTCCCTCCCTCCTCCCTCCCTCCTCCTCCTTCCTTCCTTCCTTCCTCCCTCCCTCCCTCCTCCCTCCCTCCTCCTCCTTCCTTCCTTCCTTCCTCCCTCCCTCCCTCCTCCCTCCCTCCTCCTCCTTCCTTCCTTCCTTCCTCCCTCCCTCCCTCCTCCCTCCCTCCTCCTCCTTCCTTCCTTCCTTCCTCCCTCCCTCCCTCCTCCCTCCCTCCTCCTCCTTCCTTCCTTCCTTCCTCCCTCCCTCCCTCCTCCCTCCCTCCTCCTCCTTCCTTCCTTCCTTCCTCCCTCCCTCCCTCCTCCCTCCCTCCTCCTCCTTCCTTCCTTCCTTCCTCCCTCCCTCCCTCCTCCCTCCCTCCTCCTCCTTCCTTCCTTCCTTCCTCCCTCCCTCCCTCCTCCCTCCCTCCTCCTCCTTCCTTCCTTCCTTCCTCCCTCCCTCCCTCCTCCCTCCCTCCTCCTCCTTCCTTCCTTCCTTCCTCCCTCCCTGCCTCCCTCCTCCCTCCCTCCTTCCTTCCTTCCTTCCTTCTTCCTTTTTCTTTCTTTCATTTTTTCTTTCTTCCTTCCTCTCTCTTTTCTTTCTTTTACCTTTCCTTCTTGCAAATTCTGGACTTACTTTTATTTGCCTGTCTGCCTTGGTCATTAATCATCTTAGGTAGATTAATTATAAGATCACCTAATTCACAAATCACACTCATTCCTCTCTTTCACATAAGATTGTGCTATTCCTTCCGTTGACAAGGTAATAATATGAATTGATACTTGAACACTTCCCAAACACTGTGCCTATTGCAAAGAATATATAACTTACAACAATCTTGAAATTTTTGTTACTAGCACCACCCTCACCGTTCTAGAAGTAGCCTGAGACACAGTTACCTGAGCAATTTGCTCAGGGCCAGACACCTAGTATGAAGTGAGAGCTTTTGGAGTATTATTCAAGCCAGTGCTCTTCCACTGCCCCAGGTAGGTAGGTAGGTAGACCTCTGGAGGGAGCTTGTTGGGATACAAGGAGTTGGGGACAAGAGGATAGCAGGCACCATTGTCTTTTGCAGAAGGGTGCCAGGTAGAAGAAGAATGTGAACCAGGGATCCCTGACCTCCGACTGTGTGGTTTATTACCTCCTACTGAACTCTCCCCAAGGCAATTCCAAAATCTTCTCCTTCCTTAATATTCTAACCTCATGGTCTCTGACTGTCCACCTTCTACTCTGTACATGCTAGCTTTAAGTTTTTTCATTGTATGTTGTGTATTCTTACAAGATGCTTAGGGAATTGAATATGAACCAAGTATTAGAAGACATAGTGGAAGTGTTTCTTTGGACACTTGAATGAGAATGTTCATGTCATAGGATTATGTGCATTAAGGTTCCAGCATCATGACACCTAAAATTCCAGACATAATAGTGCAGTTGCCCATGTGAACTCACAGTGGTTGTGACAGCATGCACAAGATCTGAACAAGCACAAGACAGACAAAACCCAGCATGAAGGGGAGATGTGGGCCTGAAGTCCCACCCCAGACTGGGGAGCTATTGAGACAGCTGCAAGGAGAGGGAGACTTATCTTTCTTTAAGAGTGTGGTACTGGGTAAGTCAAACATGCTCTGGTGCGTCACATACCCAAGAGTATTTGGGCAGTACAAGTTGGACTTGATGGGTTTAAAAAGAAAAATAAGGACACAGACATGGGTATGTAAGGAAGGGAGGGAGGTAGATCTTGGGAGGATTTGGGGGGAGAGGCAAATATGATCAAAATACTTTGTATGAAATTCTCAAAGAATTAATAAAAATGCATGTGTAAAAAAAAGCACTGGTTAATTTCTCCTTTGACCCATACATCATTCAGGAGTGTGTTGTTTAATCTCCATGAGTTCATGTAGCTACTAGGGCTTCTTCCAGTGTTGATTTTAAGCTTCACTGCGTTATCTGATAGAATGCATGGGATTATTACAATTTTTTTTGTATTTGTTGAGGCTTGTTTTATGCCCTACTATGTGGTTAATTTTGGAGAAAGTTACATGGGGTGTTGAATAGAAAGTATATTCTTTGGTTCTTGGGTAGATGTCTGTTAGGCCCATATGATGTAGGTATTGCTTAATTCAGATGTCTCGCTGTTTATTCTCTGTCCAGTTGATCTGTCTAATGGAGACAGTGGGCTACTGATGTCCCCTACTGTTAAAGAGTTGGGATTAATCTGTGTCTTAAACTCCTGTAGCACTGTTTTTATGAAATTGGGTGCACCCATAGTCTTACCTGAAATTCAAATTTAACTCATTTTGTGTCTTGCTATTTACCAATGATGATTCTAGTTGGGAAAGAAGAAAGGAAAAGCAGAACTCCAAAATGAGTAAAATCAATTTCTTGCTTCTGAGGAATTTATATATATCAAGTTAGGATGAAAAAAATAACTTTATCATCTGGGTAATTATATGCATCTCCTAATTATTTACAAACTGACTCCTCAAATTACTGGTCTGCTGTAAGCAGTTTGTCCACCGAAGTACCAATGACCTTCCTTGTCCCAGAACTTTCCACAGCACAGGCACTGCTGACATCTTTCTTGAAAGTCCATTCCTCTGAATGATCTGGTTTCTTCCTACTTCTTCAGTTACTTATGCTTCATATTTTTCTCTCCTACCTTTTTCCTGAAAATTAGCATTCCTGAAGACCCTTCTCAGCCTTGTCACTCTCCTATCCAGAAGATCCCTCTCAGCCTTGTCACTCTCCTATCCAGAAGCAGAAACTCAGGTAGTTTAAAGGCAAGTTGCCCACTAACGATTTGCCAGATTTACTAAATTTAAAGCTTTCAATACTGGGTGGTAATATTTAACAACTTCACCAAGAACAATGTACCATCAATGACAAAAATATTCCTCTTAGAATATTATTTATGAAGAGTAGGCATATATTTCACTAATTTTTAAATGTTCAAAAATATAAAACATGACCTACTTAGCTACTAGGGCTTGATTCTTCCGGTGTTGATTTTAAGCATTGTTGTTTTATCTGATTGAATGCATGGAATTATTTCAATTTTTTGTATAATGTAAGTAAAATGTAATATAGGAATTTTTATATGAAATTGTTTGCTAATTTTGGTTCTTTTTGGATAATTTCTAACTAAAATGAACCCAAATTAAACTTTGAATAGCTTCACAAATGTGTGATTTAAAAGAAATTTAAGATTCTGATTTTTTTTCAATGTTTTCATATTATCTTTTGTGGTGTTGGGAATCAAACCCAGGACCTCTCTCATGTTAGGCAAACACTTTATCTCTGAGCTATATCCTCGAGTCCTTAGATGCTTCTGAAGTTACAAATTAAATAGAGCTGAGAAATAGGCTAAGTGATACCAAAAGGACATTAGCATGATTCCAATACTAAAAAGTTGAAAACGAAACTTTAAAATTATAGTAAAAAAAACAATTGGAAAAATCTTGTTCTTCTTGCATACTGAAGTTGTGACCTCTAATGAGGAGTCATTAAGTTAGGCAAGCTTTCCTGTAGAAAGAATGCTTAAATAGCAAAGAGGAAAATGGTTCTCCATTCTGGGTACATCAATAGAGTGATTCAGAACTTATTGTTGTTGATTTTCTTTATGCTAAATATTTAATGCTTTTAAGACTATTTCTCCCCTAACCCCCAACGAGTGGGAAATGGTGAGGAAAGCAGTACAAGGGTTGAGTTTGGGGCCTCTCACATGGTAGGTAAGTGTTTTAGCACTAAGCTCTGTCCATCGCCTCTCACATGGTAGGTAAGTGTTTTAGCACTAAGCTCTGTCCATCGCCTCTCACATGGTAGGTAAGTGTTTTAGCACTAAGCTCTGTCCATCGCCTCTCACATGGTAGGTAAGTGTTTTAGCACTAAGCTCTGTCCATCGCCTCTCACATGGTAGGTGAGTGTTTTAGCACTAAGCTCTGTCCATCGCCTCTCACATGGTAGGTAAGTGTTTTAGCACTAAGCTATATCCGTTTATTTTTTTTTTTTTTTGGTCTTTTTGAGACAGTGCCTCCCTGTAGCCCCAGCGATCCTGGAACTCACTATGCAGACCAGGCTGGCCTTGAACTCACAGAGATCCACCTGCCTCTGTCTCCTAAATGCTGGGATTAAAGGCACACCCGGCCTAGTCTATTTTCTTTTTAATTTTGAGTGTCTTACTAAGTTGCCCTGGTTGGCCTTGAACTTGCTCTAAAGCTCAGGTTAAGTCTTCAAAATTTGTGATGATCCTACCTCGGCTACTCAAATAGCTAGGATTACAGGCCTATTTCACCAAGTCCAGCTTTTAAGAGTCTTCTACAAATTTCTAGACAGTACATCATTCAGAAAATGGCATACAATATTTAAGATATAATATTATTTCTATTGTATCTTTTTTTTCTTTAAAATTTTTTAAATTATTTTTATTTTATGTTCATGAGTATATTGCCTGCTTGTGTGTAAGTGCAC